TTGTGAATGCAAGTGGGGACTGATCATTATAGAAATTTGTAGAAATAGCCCTATTCAAGAGTTACGGTTGTATTGGCCGATTTTGTCCATGTTCGTCCTTGGGTCAAAATAGCCGTTTAATCAAATTTCGAACTGTGGTTAGATTACAATATTTACATGTTTGGGCAAATATGGCTAAATCGATTTAGAAAATCATTCTAAGCCTATTGGTATTATTTATTTTGGGTATAAAATCAATATTTCTATGCGTTCTAAACCTTCTAAACATTTTTGTTGTGCAGTGTAATGTTTAATTTTGATTTATTTTACACCTTTTTTTTAATATAAAAACACGTTTTCTGTACAAACACTAAAAATTATAGATCTGTCTGTCATAAAAATATAAACACGTTGAAATGTTGGTAAATTTTAATTTAATTTAAACAATTAAAGTTTTTTGTGTATTTCGCAGTTATAGTAATAAAATATTTTGTTAGAATTATTTTATTATTAAAACATTTTATTATTAAAATGTTTAAAAGATTTCATATTTATATACGAAGATTTGTATAGTTCACAAATACAATTATTTATCAATAACTTTATTACACATGTAATACTTATTACATAATACTTAGTATATAGTGTAAACAAATTCTATATACTTTATTAGAGTATGCATGTTTACGTGAGAGTATTTGGATATAATCAAATCTAGTGCTTTAAGTCAATGAACAAATAACAAAAAATGATACTTGACATTTTACAAATGTAACACCATTTCCGAATGAAAGGAATGAATTTCAAACATATTATTAAAAAAATCATTTGTTTCAAAAGCAATCCTGATAGAATATTTCGAAAGTAGTTTTGAATAGGGTCGATGTCCATAAAATGTTCTTTAATAAACAATTTAATTTCTAGCTGTAGGACGAACGTACAAACAGTTCTGATATACATATATTCTCCTGTTGAAATTTTACAGCAATTTTAAGAAATTTATTAATTGCCTTGGAAATGGTGTTAAATTGTAGTTTTGTGAATAAGCAGCAGTCAGTAACACATTTGTGATATTTAAGGAGGACATTCATTGCTGTTGCCAGTTTTAAATGGAAGTTGATGAATAAGTTGAATACAACAAAAAAAAAAATATTATAAAGAAATATAAAGATTTTAATGAAGCTGAAAGTAATAAAACATCAAATTAAACTGACGTTAAAAAGGTTCTGCTACAACATAAATAAAGATGACAAACAAGAAAGCTGTTTTGAGCTAAAAAAATAATAATTTTTTCATGTTTTTACCAACATCTTAAAAAACGTAGAATTTTTAAAAACATTCATAGAATTACACTCATTGAAAGTAGACTTCAGCACATCTTAAGATACAAAGTTTAAATTAATTAAAAAAAAAATAACAATTAAAACAAACTATATAAAGTGATGATTTTTTTTTTTTTAAATATAGACAACGTAATAACTTAAATAAACAACAAATTAAAATGTAATGTTAAATAAAAGTGTAAAGTTAAATTTTCCAATAGAAAACAATACGAACCATATAAATACGCTTAGAAAATAGTGAACAATAATGTCGTCATCAACCTCAACATCAACAGTGCAAAAAGATTCTTCATTGGACTCTCAAGAGTCCAACCATCAAGATAAACTCAATTATCTTTAACTCGTTGTAATAGTGTAGATAGTAAAGCACATTTAGTCTTGAATGTTTGTAAAACTGCCCAAGTAAAATACAATACAATACCTGCCTCAAAAGTGAATACGGCTGGTAATAGCAACATCAGCAACAGCCGACCATTTAACAATAAAACATCTAACACCCCCACTACCATCACACCACCATCATCTGTACCTTCATCGCCCACAGTGCCCACGCCAACCCTTGTACATACTAGCCCAAAAAACTGTAGCAACTATAATCATCATACAAATCTTAGAATACATATAGATTCAGAGGGTGGCATCTTGAATACTGCATTTATAGATAATGCATCATCATCGGCCATATGCCCCATACATCGTTCGTCCCCACAAAAGGGGCAAAAGTTAAAGCTAGAATCGGTCGAAACACCGACAATATATACCAGCCAATGTAACGATATACAATTAAGACGTCATTCTGCATTTGCGAAGGTCTATGGAGATACGTTTAATGATAATAAATGTAATTTAAATCAACATCATCGTCATCATAGCACACAACAACCAGTATCCTTTGTCCAAACAATTGTTACCAATAATGGTCAAGTAACTTCGGTGCAACAACATATGCTGCAGCAGCCACACATCAAGGAAATTGATAATGGAAAAATTCCACATAAACGTACTTGGTTCAAGACAAAGAAGTAAGTTTTGACTTTGGTTTTGGCGGTCATAATTGCTGTTGATAATTGAATTTTCACAAAACATTAAAAAAGAACAAAACAAAAACATAATGAACTTATTTTGTTGATGATTTTTTTTCGGGATAAAAATGGAAATTGGTTATAATTGAGGGAAAAAATAGGTCGTATAAATAAACTATTTTACTATGCCCTACATCTCCATAGTGGATTGCTTTTAGCATTCAAATAGTTATTCAATCACATTTATTCCTTAAAATAAACGACTCAGATAACATGTCATAATGTCAAATGTCCCTTCGTTGGATTCAATTGACATTTTATAATGCACCAATTAGTGTCATAGTATTCATGGATACTGTGGCACTTTAATACAGAAATGTTTTGGAATATTTGTTTCCCGAACTGTGGGGTATCTTGCATATTGCATTTTGGATTCCCTTATAAAATGTCATGGGTATTACGATAACTGGCTTTTCCAAATTGAGTTATTTTCATGAAATATAAACTATTTGTAAGCCGTGGACTTAACGTCGCTATATCTAGGGACATTATGACATTCATTGGCATTTTGAAACGTCCATCTACACCCCACTTTCAAAATCAATTTATTATGAATTGATTGAAAGATGTACATCAATATTGTAATCATTCGGAATTGTGGATCGGAGATGGTTTCAGATTTCGCCTATTGCATTTATTATATATAATACTGCTGTTATTTGAGAAATTCTACATTCGATTTGGAGGTATGGATGGCCATATGAAGATAAACTAAATATTTTTGGGATCCTATAAATTATATGTACATATATATATTCGATCCCTAAAGATAGCAGAGTCGATAAAGTTATGGCCGTCTGTCTGTATAATATGTGTCTATCTGAATGTTTGTTGAAATCAAGAACACAAAGGCTGCAATTAACATCAACATTTGGCTCATGTTTTTGTTGTTTCGATTTGCTTAACACAAGATTTGTAAGATTTGTAAAATCGGATAGATACTTTTGTCAAATTTAATGCTTGTTGAAAAAAATCCTAAAAAATATGAACTTTAAATCTCGACAAAATCTAAACCGTAACGAATTTAGACTTTTTGGAGAAATTTAAAACTCATATTTACAAGAATAATGTTTGTACCGAATTTAATCGGAGTGGGTCATGTTCAAAAGCCTACTTTTTTGTTCAAAATTTTTTGAAATTAACCAAAATATATCATTGATAATTTTTAAACATCAAGGGGATTTTCGGAATAGGGCCTTTAATATGGGCTTGGGTTAATTATAAACCGATCCTCATAGAATTTCGGAAAAACATTTTAGTTCTTATAATATTTGTTTATGTCAAATTTCATAGCTATACAAGCAATTCAAGATTGGAAGTAGTTTCATAAGGGGAGCTTATATAGGATGTAAGGTCAATTATTGACCCATCCTCATTAAATATAACAACGATTTTGGTTTCAATTACATAAGTTGAATTTCATTACTATCCAAGCTTTTTTAAGCCAATTGTCAGTGTTAAAGACATTTTTGAAAGGGGACCTTTTATAGCGGCTTAAATCCAAAATCGCCCAATATCCAATTCTTTGCGGAGATCTTTATATTAGTGTAGGCACAATTATGGACCGCTGCTCATAAAATTTGGCAATACAATTTTGGTTCCTATAAATCTTGCTTATGTCGAATCTCATTGCTATACTGGTATTTTAAGGCCATTTATGGACTTTAAAGTCGCTTTCTGAGGGGTACTAGGCGTAGAGTTAGTAATGCGCTGAACCTCAGATAATTCAGAAAAAGATTTTGGTTCTTATTAGACTTGTTTATGTCGAATTTATTGATATACTAGTATTATTAAGTCATTTATAAGCTTTAAAGTAACTTTCTAAAGGGGACCTTATATTGAGGTAGTGTACATTTTAGACCGATCCTATAAAACATGTTCACGTCGAATTTTATTGATATACTAATATTTTTAAGTCAGTTATGGACTTTGGGGAACTTTATATGGGGTATAAGGTTAATTATAGATCGATCTTCACAAAATTTGACGAAAAGATTTACGATCCTACAAATACTTGTTTATGAGGAATTTTGCCACTTTACATGCTTCTCTAAGACGGTTATGAACGTTAAAATAATTTTCTGTTGGTAACTTTATATGGGGGCAAAGCGAAATCGTGGTCGAATATTGGCGTTTTCAATACCAAACAAATTGTATAAACTAAAAATATATGAGAAAAATTTAAATTTAATTAAAATTTAAAAAACAGTCAGAAGGACAGACTGAGGGTCATGGAGGGAGGGACATCGTGAATAATCTAAAACTAAAGTTTGAAAATATTAGTGTTTAAAATTAAACACAAAATTTTATGTTTTTAAAGTTTAAAAATTGTGCATTCTCAGAAAGTTAGCTTCCCAATAAAATATAAAAAATTAAAATGTTAAAAGTGCTTTTCAAATACCCACTCGCTTAAAAAAAATACCAAATAGAAAAGTACTTTTTGTAACTTATTATCAGGCTATCTATCAAAACAAACAACATTTATCAAGATTTCTAATTAAAACTTTATAACCCCACTCTCTACACATACAATTTTAACTCAAAACAATTTACAAAACTTTAATTTATTTTCTCTTTTTTCTCTATCTACTTACAGTTCCCAAAACAATTTATGCAATGGCGGCATATCCGGTAATCATATATTGGCACCCAAAATACCCAATAACTGCAGTCCAAATGGACAGAAAAAAGGCACAGTATCATTATCGCATTTGCCACAACGACCACCGGTCGATATTGAATTTACGGAAATTTCCTATTCAGTATCAGAGGGTCGACGGCCGTGGTTTTAAAACAATATTGAAGGGAGTATCGGGTAAATTTCGTAATGGCGAATTGACAGCGATTATGGGACCGTCTGGTGCGGGCAAAAGTACTCTCATGAATATTTTAGCAGGCTACAAGTAAGTAAAGTTTATGTTTACTTTTAAGGTTTCCTGTTTAATTATTTGTTTAAAAGAAATGAAAGAAATATTATACATAAGTATAAAGGTTATTAAGAACAAGGAATCTTTAAAGGACAAAGTTGTTAATCTTTAACTTATTCCACTTTTCTTTTTATTCTTTTGCTGTTGCTAGCTTGTTTTATAAAGTTTTGTATCTATGGCTGTTGCTGTTGAAATTCTTCTCTTTCTGCAAGATTTTCTTAGTATATTTCCATTTAATTTTTTTCTTCATATTTGCATTCGTTCATTTTTTAATATTATATTCCTCTATAAACATCAACATTGTTCAAAATATGTGTGTGTGTGTGTGTGTTTGTATTTGTCTGCTAAAGAGTTTTTAACGTTTCTTTAAAATTTTCTTTCCTTTGTCAATGTTTTTCTTTTCCTCAGATTTGATTTTTTGTCTCCGTACAGTGAACTGAAACAAAAATCGTCTAATATCCTTTTGATTAAACAAAGAAATTAGAAATGAGTATGACTTCATTGTATATGAACTTATGAAAATTGATTTTGTTTAAATATAGTTTAAGATTGTTTTAAATCTGTATACATATGTGGTATGAATTTATCCTAAATAAATCTTCTAATTTCTAATGGCGATTCAAAATTTTATGAATTCTATAATAATTCTATCAGACATGTCTTCAAGACGTTTTCTATATAATATGCATGTTATAATGGGAAAATTGGATAAAAATAGGAAAATATAGGAGATTTGTTCACAAAAAATTGGAACAAACTAAAATTTGTTTCATAATTATAACCCAATTAAAAATGACTAATAAGAATGACGATAATGAATCTTGAGTGACCTACACCTTAGAATACTTATAATAAAATAAAGTGATTACTACAATGGTAAATACTAGGAAGAATCGATAGACATTTTTTAAAAATTCTACTCGAATCTTGGACAAAATTACGAAATTAAAAACTTTGACCTTAGGCATATATATATACAAACAGGCCTAATGGTAGAACTCACCAAAATCGAATAATTTTCTGATATCTACAAAACGAAGTAATTGACCAATTAATATACCAAATAATACCAAATATAACCAAATAATATTTTGGATTTGAATATCATATTTTATTCCATGCATATGTACACATACATATGTCCAGGTACTTTTTGGGAAATTTTATTTTCTATTTATTAGTAATGTGGACTTTACTTAAGATTATTAATAACACAAGCCTACGATGAAAACAACTTCTAAATAATGTTCAAAAATGTCAATAAAAAAACCAATTTTCCACTTTTTATTAATATTTGAGGAGATTAATGCGAATGCTTTTTGTTCAGCAAATAGTATTTCTTGTAAACCTTCCGTCAAAAGGGGCAGATCCAAGTATGGAAATTGCGAATGCTGGGAAAGAACGTTATAGATGGTTCAATGAGGCAAAGAGGACAAACAATTGGTCAGCTTACAAGTTCTCAGTAAATCACTTTAAAAATATGATGAGAAACGCGAACAGTAAGGCATGGAGGACCTTCTACACTAATGTTGAGAGTTCTTCCGAAATCAATCGCCTTCGCAAAATATTGTCTACTTCACATGTTTTCCTGAGTTATATTCAAAAACCGTGTGGCAACTGGACAATGTCATGTAGGAAATCTTTATAAGTTCTACGGCACACTCATTTTCCGGGCTGTTAACCTATTAACGTCGAAGTGTCAGCCCCGATGTCCAACACTTGCGCTGTTATTATTAATACAGAAAGCATAAACGAAGTTTTGACCTTTTCAAAACACCGGGTCCGGTATTATTCCTGCAGATCCTCAGAAAGTTGAAGACATTATTATTCCCTGGCTACTAGCTATTTATAATGCATGCTTAAGGACATTATACATCCCACGTTTGTGGATGAGATGCAATGTGGTCTTTATTGCCAAAGGGGGTAAGGTATCACATACAAAACCAAAGGACTACAGACCAATTAGTCTTGCGTCTTTTCTTCTCAAGACACTAGAACAGCTCATTGATATACATCTTAGACTAACCATCACATCGGTGTTAATCTCTAATTTGCAACATGCCTATAACAAGGGCAAAATCTGTTGAAACGGCACTTCACTCACTAGTAACCCATGTTAAAAGCTCACTAGCACATAAAGAGTGTTGAGGGGGCCTTCAATAATGTCGATCCCGATGCCATCTTAGCGGCACTTGAAGGATTAGGGGTTGATCAACCAACTCAGCTACTTATTAAAAAGCTCCTTAGTAACAGGGTCATTAGTGCTACGATGGGCAGAGTCAATGTTTCCAGACTTGCTATTCGTGGTACACCTAAGGGGCGAGTTCTGTTTCACCGTCTCTGGAATGTGGCTATGAACACCTTGCTAATTGAATTAGACAAAAGGAGAAAGTTATAATTCCTCCGAACGTTTAAGCTGGAGGTCCACATTACGCGTCTTAGCGGCAAAGCATTTCGTGCTTTTCATGCCTTCTTTGCATCATACGCATCAAGTAACATGCTACTCTTCTTAAGCGTCAATTTTTTGCTTTATTTACAAATACACATTCAAAATAGAGTATCCTTTTACAAGGCTTGTAACTTGTAAAAAGTAATGATATGCAAAATAAGTTCTCTCCGATTTCACGGCGGACTTCTACTTGAAGAAAAAGTAATCACTTTTTATACTCACTGTAAATGTATGTATTCAAAAACCACATCCAACACTTGTCTGTTCATATGTTATTAGCATACGTTTTTGTTTGTCTTTTCTTGAGATAAACAATAAAAACAATCTCTGTTTGTTTATTAAAAGCCAAAAAAGAATTATTCAAACTTATTTACTTTAAAAGGCTTATAACATGGACTTAACAAAAGAAAGAAAAATAATTTATATACATACTAGCTATGCCCAGTGTGCTTTGCTACCCTAAAAGGAATATGTATAAATAAAAATCCCACTTTACGAATTTAAAGATCCTTAATACAATAGTTTTCCAGATTTATAATATGTTACATATGAGAGATGTCAAGCAAATTATAGCAAATTCGACAGTTTCTATCTAAATCAAGTCCTATTAGTTTCCCAGATAAACGAAATTTTATATTTAATGCATATGGGAGGTGCCAAGTTCAGCATTGAAAGTCCGCCCGTTATGCTCTAAATGTTCACATGAATTTCAAAGTTCTTCATTCTTCAAATTTGAAGATTCTAGCTCTAATAGTTTCTCAGATATACGAATTTTTCTATTTGATTCATATGGGGGTTTCAAGACCCCCCCAGATGAAAGTCCGCTTTTTTTCCTCCAAAATGTTCAGATGAATATTTAAAATCTTCGTACAAAATTTGAAGAATTTAGTTCCGTTTAGTTTGTCTTTAATTAATATGGGTGGTGCCGCTCCCCTCAAGGGTAGTCCTCCAATTTATTACCAAAAATGTTTAGATGAATGTTAAAGTTATTCGTGTAAAATTTGAAGATTCTAACTGTAATAGTTTCCAAGATAAACGTATTTTCGTATTTATTTTATATGGGAGGTGCCACGCCCCCTAATGCTAGTCCGCCTACTTTTTGTCCTAAATAATTTTATTGACACTAAAGTTGCTCCGACAAAATTTGAGGACTCTAACTGTTATATTATCTAAAATATACGGATTTAATAATTTCTTAATATGGGCGTGGCTGCTCGCCCAATTGGAATTTCAAAATAAAAAATAGCCTATTACCTATTCTAGATATACAGGAATACGCTGTGAAAATTTTAATAAAATCGGTTCAGCCGTTTAGTAGTCTATAACGTTCAAACATACAAACAAACACACATTCATTTTTATATATATAGAAGATGTACATATGTATGTATAAATACATACATACATATGTATATACATTTCTTATTAAATATTAACTTAATTTTTAGGAGGAAGATATATATTTTTATGACAACGACGAAGATTTGAGTTCGTATAATAGATTAGAATTTATAAATGTTAAATGTGGTTACTTTGACTGACTTGTTAAATGTTCCTGATAAAATAACTTATATTTTCATCAGCTTACAGCACGTGTTTCTTTAAATTGATTTAAATTTACAAATTTATATTTAATTTTCAGAACCTCCCAATTAAGCGGCTCAGTTTTGATCAATGGCAAAGAACGTAATCTCAGACGTTTTCGCAAACTCTCCTGTTACATTATGCAGGATGATGTACTCATTGCAAATCTGTCGGTACGTGAAGCCATGATGGTGTCTGCAAATCTTAAGTTGGGCAAGAATATGGATCTGGCTGCCAAAAAAGTTGTTGTCGATGAGATACTCGAAACAATTGGTCTGATCGAATCAAGCAATACAAAAACATGTAATCTCTCCGGAGGACAACGAAAACGGCTGTCAATTGCTTTGGAGTTAGTCAACAATCCACCCGTTATGTTTTTCGATGAGCCCACATCGGGCTTAGACAGTTCGACGTGCTTCCAATTGATATCGCTATTAAAGTCCCTGGCTCGAGGTGGACGTACCATAGTGTGTACCATACACCAGCCGTCGGCTAGATTATTTGAAAAATTCGATCATTTGTATATGCTGGCCGAGGGTCAGTGTATGTATGAGGGTAGGGTAAGAGCATTAGTGCCCTTTTTATCCTCTCTGGGTTACGATTGTCCTTCGTATCATAATCCCGCCGATTATGTACTGGAGGTGGCTAGCGGCGAGTATGGAGAGTGTGTGCCAAAACTGGTGGCAGCCGTTAAGAGTGGCGTATGCAAGAAATACAGTCACAAAAACTATGGTCTAGATTTATCCAAAGATATTAATAATGATATTATCAAGGGCAATGGCAATACCGCCAATGGTGGCAACTCAACAAATACCACCTCGGTGACCATGGAGGATGAAAAGCTGAAATTGGATGAACCCACAACAGCTGCTGAATTAGAGCTTAATTCGAGCATTTTAAAACCACCGAAATTGGAATCACAGAACAGTCAACAATCCGATTGTTCTGTTATCAATTTACCACGCAACGATAATGGTAATGACAATACAAATTCTAAAGCCGATCAAAGTATTATTGCTATATGTAATGTTGCAGGTGCGGGAGGCGGTACTGCTGACAGCGGTGGCGGAGGTGGAGGAGGCAATTCTAGTACTAATGGTGCTGGCTGTACTACATCATTATTGGATTCACATGAATCGGTTATAACGCTGCCGAATAAATCCGGTTTTCCCACCAGTGGTTGGACACAATTTTGGATTTTGCTCAAACGTTCCTTTGTCACGATTATGCGCGATCGTATGTTAACACACATGCGTCTGGCTTCGCACATCATTGTGGGCGCTATTATTGGCATGATCTATTATGATGTGGGTAATGAGGCTTCAAAGGTTATGAGTAATGCTGGTTGTATATTCTTTACAACACTGTTTACCATGTTTACGGCCATGATGCCAACAATATTGACTTGTAAGTTTAAGATTTTGTTAAAGTTTTTTTTTATGTTTTCTAACTGTTTGGTTTTGTATTTGTAATAATTTCTAGTTCCAACCGAAATGTCGGTATTTGTGAGGGAGCATCTAAACTATTGGTATTCTCTGAAGGCTTTCTATTTTGCTAAAACTATGGCAGATTTACCATTTCAGGTAAGTTGAATGCTAGTGTCAATAGAATAGCCCATTATATAGATAATTAGCTAGTTCAAGGTGTAATTCATTGAGGAGTTCTTTGAGTAGTTTACAAACTAGACCATATACCAGTTCATAAACTATTTAATAGATTAAAGTAATTGACAATAGACCAATCTATAGATGAACTAGTCAATAAACTCTCCCATAGACTAGTCAATGGATTAGTTCATAAACCATATAATAATCAAGAATATACTAATTAAGAATATTCCACTATCTAGATAATTAGCCAATTCATGGTATAGGTCATTGAGTAGTTCATACACTAGTCCATATATCAGTTCATAAACTATTCAATGGATTAAAATAATTGGCAATCTATAGATAGACTAGTCCATAACCTAGCCAATAGACCAATTCATAGACTAGTCAATAGATCAAAAACAAATCGAAAGATCAATATATGTTTCCCTAGCCAATGGACCAGTCAAACCATATATTAGTTCATAGACAAGTATACAGACTAATAGGTAGACCAGTTCATAGACCCTAAGCTCTAGATCGGTAGTATATCCAAATAAGTAGATTTGTTTGTTGACTAATCAATAAACTAACTAATCCTTAGATCAAAACTAATCAAAAGTTAAATCTATAGACTATTTAGTGGACTAGATCAGTTTTTTCCCTAGCCAATAAACCAGTCAAACCAATATATTAGATCATATACAAGTCTATATTTAGACTAATCAATTGACTAGTCCATAGATTAGTCAAAAGTTAGATAATTAGACCAGTAGCCAGATTAGGCTCTAGACCGGACTAGGATCTAGATAGATAAGTAGATCAGTTCATTGACAAGTTAAATCTATAGACTATTTAGTGGACTATATCAGTTTTTTCCCTAGTCAATAGACCAGTCAAACCGATATACTAGTTCATATACAAGTCTATATTTAGACTAATCAATAGACTAGTCCATAGATCAGTGAAAAGTTAGATAATTAGACTAGTAGCCGGATGAGGCTCTAGACCAGACTAGGATCTAGATAAGTATATAAAGAAATAGATCAGTTCATTGACAAGGTCATTAACTAATCCTTAGACTAGCCCATGCTATAATACTCTATAGACTGGTCAAGACTTAAATTTTTAGACTAGTCCCTGGACTTGAATCTAGACCAGTTTTTCGAAAAGTCCATAAACTAGTCAATAAACCAGTTTATATATTACATCCTAGGCTAGTCATTAGAATAATCCCTAGACCAAACCCTAGATTAGTCCGTAGACTAGTCAGCAGACAACTCCAAGGCTAAGGAGCCATATATCAATGCGTTACATTTACACAAATGACTTGTACCATTAAAACTAATTTACTGTCTTTCTCTCTCTAATCTTCTCACTAGATCGTCTTCTCTAGCGTTTACGTCATCGTTGTCTATTATTTAACCTCACAACCCATGGAACCACAGCGTCTAACAATGTTTGTGGTCATATGTGTATTAACATCATTGGTGGCCCAATCGTTGGGCCTACTCATAGGTGCTGGTATGAATATAGAAGCTGGTGTATTTTTAGGGCCAGTAACAACAATACCAACCATATTATTTTCGGGATTTTTTGTTAATTTTGATACCATACCGGGATATTTACAATGGGTGACATATGTTAGTTATGTACGATATGGCTTTGAAGGTAAATACTAAATGTTATATATAAAAAAAAATTATACTAATAATAATTTTTCCTTTTTTCATTTGTTAACAGGTGCCATGGTTTCCATTTATGGCATGGATCGTGCTAAACTGCAATGTAACGCTATGTATTGTCATTTTCGTAGTCCTAAAAAGTTTTTAGAAGAAATGTCTATGGATCAAGCCGAATATTGGATTGATGCTGTAGCCTTGATTGGCATTTTTATAGCTCTAAGAATCATAGCATACTTTGTGTTGCGCTGGAAGTTACACATGATTCGTTAAATCATTGAAAATGTACTTGTTATATTCTTATACATTTATATATATAGAAACACATAAATATATATAAGTATATAAAGCGAGTGCGAGTACTGTGCTGTAGTTTTTTAGAGTTTAGGCGTAGGACTCTATAGAGTGTTGGTTTTTTTTTTATTAGAATTATATAGCAGAAAAAAAGACCTTTCTATTCTCAATATGGTGTGATATGTACGCAATGTGTTTAATTTTATTTTTTTATATATTTAAAAAAAAAGATATTTTATTTTATATAATTTTTGTTTTAATTTTTTTCTATGAATCTATTTACATGCATATTTAACTAAACATAAAAAAATATACAATACATATAATGGGGCGAAAGCAATTATTTGATATTTTTCATTAATCATCATTAGTTAAATTGTACTTTTTTTCGTATGCAAATTGTAATGAGTTTGTTATTGGAAATTATTGGGGGAAATATTGTTCTTTTTGGTGGTAGATACTAGTATTTATGGTTTTTAATAGGAAGAAATTTAGAATGAAGGCATCACTCAGTAAAGTTTTAGAACATGAAATGTAAAGTTAAGTTCGACTTTAAAAGTTACTTGTACCTTTTCAAGATAAGTGTGTTGTGGTTCCGGCTCACATAGAGTAACTTTTGTCGATCAACTTTTGAGTTTGTAAGAGAGAGAGAGTATATTCTTGCCTCCCTCTTCCATAAACTCAAAATTTTCCAAGACAAAAGTTACTCCCTGTGAATTTGACAATAAATATCTTGAACAAGTGGTGGATGATATTGGTTCCTGTTCACATCAAGCAATTATTATCGATCAACTTTTGAGTTTGTAAGAGAGAGAGAGAGAGAATATACTTGCCTATCTCTATTTTGATCTCATAAGTCAATTGGTAAGAGAATAATAATTTTTATCAGTCATAAAGTTTTTTAACTACTGCGGTGATCCTTCAAATTTAAAAGTTATATAACAATCTGATCTTTGATCTTTAAAACTGACTCATGTCAAAAGTAAAGAATATTCATACAACTGTATTAATCTTTCCTTCCTCCCCGTCTAATTAGATTTTTTTTAGTAAATTTTTTTTACAATTTATGTTTTTTTTTCTAAGTATATATAAATTTGTATGTGATTATATGTATTTTTTTTTTAGTTGAAATTTTTTTATATATATATAATTTTTTATACAAAACGATATTTTTCTGTGACATAATTTTTAAATACATATTCAATATTATTATAAAGTAAAAAATTAATAATATTACAAAAAAAATAAAAATCCATTATTAACTTAAGTATTTATAAAATAAGTTATTTAGCTTTTAAAAAAACATAAACATTTATTCTAAAAATCATACAGAAAAAAATACAAAAAAAATTAATAAAAACAAATTCAATTGAAAATAAAAAAAAAAAAAATTAAAAAATTTGTACTGATTTTTATTAAATAAAAACCAAAGGTAACACAAATGTTTTAAAATTTTATTTAAGTTTTAACAGGATGACGATTGGTGACTAATAAGTCGATGAGTTTAAGTTGAATATTCGTAATAGAAAAGTGGACTAGACTATAGATCAGACAATATAGTACATAGGCTAGATCATAGACTAGAGTATGGACTACACTAAAGGCCTGCACAAGTCAACAATAAAACAACAATTTGTAAAAAAAAAAATGTCGTGTGCGCCATAATAAGCACCCGAAATTTTTTTAATAACTTAGACTACACTAGAATATGGACTGGACTATGAACTATACTATAGAGTATACTTTAGACTAGACTACAGAACAGACTATAAACTAGACCTATAGACAAGACTATACATAAGACTAATGACTATATAGTCTATAGACTAGACTATAGACTATAGACTAGACTATAGACTAGACTATAGACTATAGACTAGACTATAGACTAGACTATAGACTAGACCATAGACTATACTATAGACTAGACTATAGACTAGACTAGACTAGACTATAGACTAGACTATAGACTAGACTATAGACTAGACTATAGACTAGACTAGACTATAGACTAGACTATAGACTAGACTATAGACTAGACTATAGACTAGACTATAGACTAGACTATAGATTAGACTATAGACTATACTATAGACTATACTATAGACTAGACCTATAGACTAGACCTATAGACTAGACCCATAGACTAGACCTATAGACTAGACCCATAGACTAGACCTATAGACTAGACCTATAGACTAGACCTATAGACTAGACCTATAGACTAGACCTATAGACTAGACCTATAGACTAGACTTATAGACTAGACCTGTAGACTAGACCTATAGACTAGACCTATAGACTAGACCTATAGACTAGACCTATAGACTAGACCTATAGACTAGACCTATAGACTAGACCTATAGACTAGACCTATAGACTAGACCTATAGACTAGACCTATAGACTAGACCTATAGACTAGACCTATAGACTAGACCTATAGACTAGAACTATAGACTAGACCTATAGACTAAACTATAGACTAGACTATAGACTAGACTATAGACTAGACTATACACTAAACCTATAGACTAGACTATAGACTAGACTATAGACTAGACCCATAGACTAGACCTATAGACTAGACCTATAGACTAGACCTATAGACTAGACCTATAGACTAGACCTATAGACTAGACCTATAGACTAGACCTATAGACTAAACTTATAGACTAGACCTGTAGACTAGACCTATAGACTAGACCTATAGACTAGACCTATAGACTAGACCTATAGACTAGACCTATAGACTAGACCTATAGACTAGACCTATAGACTAGACCTATAGACTAGACCTATAGACTAGACCTATAGACTAGACCTATAGACTAGACCTATAGACTAAACTATAGACTAGACTATAGACTAGACTATAGACTAGACTATACAACCTATAGACTACTATAGACTAGACTATAGACTAGACTATAGACTAGACTATAGACTAGACTATAGACTAGACTATAGACTAGACTATAGACTAGACTATAGACTAGACTATAGACTAGACTATAGACTAGACTATAGACTAGACTATAGACTAGACTATAGACTAGACTATAGACTATACTATAGACTAGACTATAGACTAGACTATAGACTAGACTATAGACTAGACTATAGACTAGACTATACTAGACTAGACTATAGACTAGACTATAGACTAGACTATAGACTAGACTATAGACTAGACTATAGACTAGACTATAGACTAGACTATAGACTAGACTATAGACTAGACTATAGACTAGACTATAGACTAGACTATAGATTAGACTATAGACTATACTATAGACTAGACTATAGACTAAACCTATAGACTAGACCTATAGACTAGACCTATGGACTAGACCTATAGACTAGACCTATAGACTAGACCTATAGACTAGACCTATAGACTAAACTATAGACTAGACCTATAGACTAGACCTACAGACTAGACCTATAGACTAGACCTATAGACTACACCTATAGACTACACCTATAGACTAGACTATAGACTAGACTATAGACTAGACTATAGACTAGACTATAGGCTAGACTATAGGCTAGACTATAGGCTAGACTATAGACTAGAATAGACTAGACTAGACCTATAGACTAGACCTATAGACTAGACCTATAGACTAGACCTATAGACTAGACCTATAGACTAGACTTGTAGACTGGACCTATAGATTAGACTATTATTGACCGGAATGTGGATTACATTTTTGAGTAGTCTATATACATATGTAGTCAAGATTGGATCTTAATTGTAAATCTCTTCAATAGTTGTAGAAAAACAAGTATTAAAATCGTTCTTAGTATTAAAATCATTCAATATACGTACATAAATGGAAAAAATACAAAAAAAAAACTAAATAATATTTATTACTCCATAAAAATTAAATCCCCTCAAAGAAACCAGTAATGTAATTTTAGAATTATATTAGCCTTTATGTAAAGTTTATATTGCTGTTTAAGTTTTCATAGTTTAAGCATTTTTTAAAAAACGGTTTATCGTTCAACCGAAAAAAAATTTGTTTCTTAAATAATCCTTCACTATAATTTATTTGTTACTAAAAATAACTAAAACTACACCGATTTTAACTAGCTGATTAAATTAAGTGTATTTATCTTTTAGTTATTTTTTGTGTTTTTCCTTCTGGTTTTATTACTTATATTATTGACCAATTTAATATAAATAACACAAATATAATAGTCTGATTTAAGCAAAATAAAAACACGATAATGATATTTTTACACAGCTTGTAAAATTTTTGGTCATCTTTTTATATAAAAAAATTTCCGTCCTTGTATTAATATTTTTTGTTTAGTCAAATTCACAAAACATTTAGAATAGAAATAGTGAACATCGTTTTTTTTTTACCATACTATGTACTATTGGTTCATTGCGCTTGATTTTTCTACTATATCTTTTCTATCACAACACCACTATCTAAAACCATTTCTGATTTGTGTCTCAAAAACATTATTTGAAATTTTATACTTTTATATCTAACGGTCCTTTTTGGAAAGTTATTTTAGTAATTTATTAGTCATTATTGCTAACTTCTTTCTTCGAATTTTTTAAACAGTAATACTCCAACTCAATTATTCACTGTAAATAAGAAAAACATTTATTTGTCTTTAATATGACAAAAATCTAACATTTTAATTAAATTATCACATTTAACAGCTATTTGGAAAATTTATGAATGATTAATCACCAAATTGATTCTTATTCGTACGAAATTGACACAAAATTTTTCAATAACATCCATTGTCAAGTATATACATACATACAACAACAACATGTAATGTAGACCACGCAACTTTGTCAACATTGCAACAATTCGTTGTAGCAATCTTAACTTTATGCATTTATTGGAAACGCTCAAAATGCGTTTCCAATAGTGATCTTACCACGTTTGTTTACAGTTCAACTCTATCGGTCCAGAACTGCCGGACTTAGAGGGAGTCAAATTTGGACATTTTGGGTATACAGGGTTATATTCAAATGAGAGTAACTTTTCACCTATTGGTCATAGCAAAAATTGTCCAAAGGAGTGCAGATAGCTATTTCTTTATTGTTTCCAAAACAAAATATTTTTTAATTTAAATTTTTTTTTTTTTTAAATAAAACCCTGTATGATCAAAATGTCCAACTTTGACCATCTCTAAGTCTGGCAGTTCTTGACCGATAGAGCTGAAAATTTGTGTCTGGCCTACTATCCAACAATACTAACCTTGGTGCAAATTTCATTAAAATTAATATCGAAATATATATACATATATCAAAATATTGATTCCTTTAAGATTATACCAAGATATAGCCACGTCCGTCGGTCTGTTTATTGAAATTACGATAAGCACCAAACGATAACAGCAGAGAGCTAAAATTGTAATTGTATTATATATTTGCTTGGAATTGAAAATAAGTAATTATATTCCACATTTTCAGCTAGTCCCACATAAATGGTACCCAGGAATACCTTTTAAACAGCCACAAATATGTCGATTATATAGAATTTACTCAGAATAGTTTTATGGGCAGTATTTGATCCTAGAGCCC